TATATATATAATAAAAAATAAATTAAAATGAGTGCAAAGAAATTAATTTGCAGTTAAGTTGCGTACAGTACAGTATGTGTGTTCTATGCTGCTGCTGATATTTACTTTATGCACGCTGTACAAATACACAACAAAAATGACAGCAGAAAAGAGCAGCTGTGTCATTCAGTGTTAACTCAACCAGAGGTCTCTGGTGGAATTGATTTTTTTATGCCAAAGTATGGCAAAAATATGAAATGCCACCGATGAATATTTACGGAGCAGTAGCTACACTATTTTGTAGAGGGGAGTCAAAATGAGATTTTGACCTTTCACCTGAGATTTGGAGGCAAATTGCAGGAGAGGAAAATTATTTTAGAAAGATGGACTTTCTAAAAGATTGACTTTAGCCATTTTTGTTGCATTATATGCCAATTGTGGGGGGAAAAAAAACGGGAGAAGCACTTTTCACATTTCTTCCCCAAAGTTTGCCTGTAACTCAAGGCAATTGAATTTTAAATACTGGTTCTTAACTTTTGGTATCTTCATTTTAAGGACCTATATGGTTTATTTCCAAATATATGGATGTCGCAGTCTGGCTCCATTGTTGACTAAATGAACCTGAAAAGATTTTCAACACCCACTTGTTTTGTAATCATTGTGTGCCAATGGCAATTTGAAAGTGTTTTCCAGAAGGTGCAATGTTTTCCAGAGAGTTAGCTTTGGCAAGTTTCAAACCACCACTCCAAACAAACACCATTTTGGCCACATTTTTTTCGAAATTACATCACACCCATTTGCTCTTGGATTTCGCTTGAAGTATATTGGGGCCTTAAATGAGGCATGTATAGATTAAGTGAGCTCCCACAGTTGCAGTAAAGTTTTAGCGTCGCTGTTTGAGTGAAGCCTGATGTCCTTTTGTGACCGTTCGAGTTTTCTCTGAATGCTGCAAACAAAATGGCTTAATTGTAAAAATGACCATTAAAGGTAAAAATCTATTTAAATTTATCTGACCACCACACAGAATATGAAGAATATCAAAAACTTTAGGAGTCAGCTGTCCACGAAAGTCCAACATGATAACACACTCAATCAGTTGAATGAATGACTCAATGACTCACTCATTAAGTGTCTTACTGCCACTTACTGGTAGTTTAGTTGAGAAGTATGTTGAAAAGTATGCATTTTTCCCCTCAACATTTCTTATTTGTATGCTCATAAATGCATTTAAAACATTAATCTCCTAACATTATTTATTGCAGTTGTAATTATTGTTATTTGCAGTGTAAATTATTTAATCTGACTGGTAGCAGCCCTATAGTGTATATTGAATTTATTGATAAATTGTAATAATTTGACATGTCATTGGACAGACAGAAGATTTTTTCTTCCCCGCGTTAAGTTACTGCGTCATCAGAGAGAATCGCAGTAGCAGAATACAGGTCGAGCTCATAGACTGTGTAGGTTGAACTACCTTTTTAATGTTCTCAATAAAAATAATAATAATTTATTAAAATACAATTTTGTGATTAAAACATAAGTGACAAAAAATAACCAGCGAAGCATCGAAACGCGAGAATTATTCTTCTAATTTTATTAGCCTACATTCAATGTAAACAGCGATTGATAATGGATAGTGTATTTCTGGTATCAAGGTCGCGCTGTTGAGGCTCACTCTGCTTGTCTTTTTGTGAGAGTCTTCAAAACAAATGAGCGTTATGGCACACATAAAGAAACTCAGAAGAAACACACTGAGGTAAAAATTCAAAATGTTTAGTTTATTCATAGCATGATATAGTTACGTAACATTATTACAGCAATGATATTTTGATTTTAATTTAAACACATTAAATATTACATATATGTATGTAAAACAATGTGTATTTCCATTACAGGTTTAGGTCTCAAATTTCATAGAAGGTGGTATTAAAAAGGTCTTAAAAAGTCTTCAATTTAACTTGTTTATGTCTGTAGAAACCCTGCAATGAGTGCAGCAAAGGATAATTTTGATATTTTACAAGAAAATTTGTTCCTAGAATTCTTCTCATAATTAAAGTACATCTTTATTCAAGTAAAGTAACATGAGAATCATAGGCGCGGGAAGTAGTGGTGCTGCAGCACCCCCTGTTTTTTTTCTGTGGGCAACTGTTTAACTGTTGGAAATTATTTTACACTAAGTGCAAATAGCCCGCCTTGTTGGCAGAGGCTATTTACACCCGCTCCCTAGTCAACATTACAAAAGACGGTCATCAGTCGTCAGATTCAGTGGCGTAGATGGTAAAGCGTGTGTCATACTCTTTTACAGTCTATGGTCATACTCCTTTTGACGCGATCGACCCGGATTCGAATCAGCTTTTTGGCAAACTTTTTTTCTCCCTTTTCAAATTTCAAATCAAATCACATCACATCAGAAAAGCATTTATTTTTAATAAAAATGAAGGAAATAATCAAAAAGTTGAAAATAAAGTATGGGGTAGGGTTAGGGTAGGTGTAGGGAGGGCTTTTGTCCCAATAAGGTGGCATCCATGTAATAATTTGAATTAAAATTGACACTTAATAAGTTATTATTGCATACTGTTTTATAATGTATTACAATGCTGAGGTGCAGATAATTGCCACTATTTGCAATAAGTAATTAGCAGAATATCCTGCTATTTTAACATAGTATAAATAGAATCTAGCTATTAGCATATCACTAAAAAATACTGCTATTTTCACTTAGTATAAATAGCATCTATCGTGTGAACACCGCGTGATTTCACTCTGAATCTAGCTCTGAAATGCTGAAAACACTGGATCATGAGCTGCTCCCATGTAAACGAACATAGTGCCGCAATTCACTCTGAAACAGGCGGCGCATTTATTTATTTAAATCGCAGCCTTTGATAAATGGCAGTATGGCGTATAGTGATTTTTATATTATTTTGGTTATTCATGTAGCCTTAGGGTTAAATAAGGAAATCTTGTTAATCCTGTTATTCTCTCTTAACCATCACTTACTCAGGCTCTATGCGGCTGCACCATCAGCGCCCCCACCTTGGATGGTAGAACTGTCACAGTGACATCACGTGATGTCATCAAACCCGGTATGAAGAAGAGGATAGTGGGAGAAGGACTGCCACTGTCCAAATGTCCTGAAAAGAGAGGAGACATGGTGCTAGAGTTCTCAGTGAAATTTCCGGACAAGTTGGGACCGAGTGCCCGTGAATCTCTGGTTCAGATCCTACCACCTTGAGCGTTGCAACCGCTGGAGGACAGACTCTCAACACACAGATCCTATGATTGGGCCCTTCTGATTTTCTAGATATTATTGCAGCTGAAAGTATCAGTGGTAAATACACAAAAGTCAAGCTCAGAGAAACACAATAGAGCTCCCAACAGATTATTTATACCCGCTTACTTATATTGCAATGCACTTTTACAGAACTCTGTGAAACATTTCAGAAGTAATATATTGACTTTCACACATAGTTTAGCAGTACCTCCAAGTAAATGCTCCGTCATCCTCTTGTTTGCTTCTTCAGGTTTCTTTCCCCTTGAACCTTTATATTTTCTTTTATTAAAATAATATTCCAATTTTAGTCTCTGAGCAGTCAACATTGTACTTAACAGTAATGTCAATGCTGAACAATAGGGTTTTATACATTCCTGAGGATCTCAAATAGTAATTGTAGAAGTGTGTGTGTGTGTGTGTGTGTGTGTGTGAGATTGTGGGTGTGTGAAATCCCAATGACGGGGCTGCTGGGGAGCCGAGTTTCTTTGCATAGAGTGAGCCCAGGAAATTCCAAGGGCTCCTGAGCATTATCACAGTGCTTCCAGAGCATGTTAAAGTGTGGTTACATTTACTATTGCGTGATACAATTTCCCTGGGGAAATGGAGTCATTCCAATCCACCTCATTTGTCAATGTTGAAGTAAGCTATCTTCTATGAATGTGCGAGATTTCCGATTCATTAGGCGCTATAGGTAAATAACTAGATGAATAGACCATAGACATGGGCGTAGTGTCCGTGATGTCACTCATAGGTTTCTGAAGAGCATTTTTGAAGCCCCAAGTGGGCGGAGCCGGCCGTCGCCATCTTGGCAGTACGTCACTCCTGGATAATTGGAAATGGGCAAAGAGGCAGGACACGGGTGGAGCTGAGGTGCCTGGTTGCTGAAACCAAGCCTGCCTAGCTCCACAAGCAGGCAATCCACCTGTCACTCAAGTGGCCACGCCCTTAATTATGCAGAATTTTATTATAATTTAAACCGATGAGTTATAAAAAAAAATCCACCACCTCACAGTTGTCATGAAGGGCAAGATTAGCAATATAGACCAAAACCACTTTTTGTACCAGGCCGTAAACATTTTTTTTTTCTGCTGTAAAGTTGGCCATTTTAACCTGGGGGTCTATGGGATTGACTCCCTTTTGTAGCACGTCTTCTAGCAGTCAGTTGATGAATTGCAGTTAAAGTCACTTCCATGTCAGATTCAGAGAGACAGGAAGGTTTCCGCTTGGAATAGACATTGTGTGTGAGAGAAACAAGTGCGCAGCCATCTTTAGAATGTTAGTTTTTAGAATTTTGAACTTCCATTTTTGTGGTAGCTCAATAGCATCACTGTTGAAGATTAATAAGCTGGTGGGTTTACTTAATGTAGAGCTAACGAAATTTATCATGAACATTGTAATGTTTGAAGCGAATGACGTAAATGTCAGTAGACTGGGAAGATTTTTAAACGAGTGGTTAATTAATAAATTCATGTGAATTTACGGTAACGCTGTGGAAATCCAAACGGAAGACAGAAGACAACAAACGCAGTGCAGAAAAGGGGCGGAGCTACAAGGTCTGTAAGTACAATAAAACTACTTGTGCTGCAAACCAGTGTGTTTATAATTATGACAATACATTAAAATAATATGATAAGAAATACCTGTTTGCAATGTCAAGCAGTATAGCTTGCAGTTTTTTTTTATTAAAATGACTGGAAGCGAAAGACAACAGATGCCTCGCACATTCAAGTTAAACGGCTGTATCAGCTCGTATGTTAAAAATAAGGAGAATAGGAATCTGTGGGGGCAAAAATTTCCCCACGCAGATTTTCAAATGAAGCAGCTTTCTTGGGCTCAACGCAGTGAATTTCTGTGACTGCTTTGAAACCGTCGCAGAAACGTTCACACAGAATTGCCAAACGCATAGATTCCTGTTGGAGAGACTGGATTTCGACCATGCAGATTCACTGAGCAATGGTAAATGTGACCGCACATTTACACTGCAGACACCACTCGCTTTCTCCAGCTAGGATTGATCCATGATAGGTTACTGTGATTTCCATGTCACCATTGTGTCTTTGAGCACATAACTGCTCCATTCAGACCATCCCTCCTCTATTTGTTGCAGCCAAGTAGGTACATTTCAGGTTTAAAAATTCTTGAATGTAGCTTTAAGTAACTATTAATGGGTGATGTTTTGGAAAGCATAAATGGTGTGTGGTTGCTGCAAAATTACACTTCAGCTTTCAAGACTTCTAATTTGCTAAGGAGCATTCATTTGTGGGAATTTACACTATAAAACATTAAACACAACTTAAACCTTTTTTGCTTGCAATGTAGCTTGAAAAGAATTCATAATATTCTTTCATGGCCCTGGAAACACACTCTTATTTTACTTAGTCATATTTATGCTGTTATTGTAGTGCACATATTGAGATGATGTACAATGATGAGATAATGGCGATTTTATAGACTTTATTGGATTTTGCATCTTAGAACTGCCATTACCAGAAGTAATTTTATGAGGAACGACAGTATTTGTGCCAAACGTATGCAGATTGCGATGGCACATATGCACAGTTTAAAGTACCTCACTCATTGTTGCTGCATCATCAGCATGCTATTTGAAATTCACAACGTTATGGAATTTGTGCGTTTCTGTAAAAAGATATTGGCTTTTTTTTTGTAGGGAAATGCTTCACAATTCTTTATCATATGCGTAATTGTTTTTTATTCCTTGCAATTAAAGGCTTTACAAGTGCTGTCTTGTAGTAAGTCTGTTACTGTATTTGTATTCAAGAATGCATACATGATCATGGAAAAGTGTTATTGTGATTGTCAGCGCTACAAGAGTTTTAAGTATTTAGAAAAGTTATACTTTTTTTCTATTTCTACACAACTGATGTGTTCAAAGTTCATCCATCTTTAAGATGTTTCTAACTTTAAAATGTTTCCCGCTAAAATACGAGTTGTCTATACATAAAATTGCTTTCTCCAGTAAGTCATCTCATCTGAATTAGGAGAGAAATGTGCACATATCAAGTATGTTTATGAGCAAAAGCAGTTCTAAACAAATATGTTGGTGGATTTTGATGTGAGAAGAAAAGAGGATGGATCTTCTCACTGGAAGAAGTTTTATTATGGCCAGAAGTGACAAATTTAAAAGTTACTTCAGTGATAGATTTGTTTCTGACAAACACAGCGTTTTGCTTAACAAGGCAATGATCAATGCACTGGAGTCATGCGGAATACTGTGATGTTTTATCATCTGGATGGACTCTTATTCTGACGGCACCCATTCACTGCAGAGGATCCATTGGTGAGCAAGTTGTAATGCTCATATTCTCGAAATCTTTAAAGAAACAAATTTTCAGCAAATACTCATTGTTGGGTGAACTATATCTTTATCACTAGATGGTATTGCTCTTTGTGTGAGCAGTGCAAAACCTGTTGAATGTTTTAAGTATCTAAAATAAGAATAACATTTTAAATATATGAATTCTGCCCAGCAATCTCTATAAAATTATTCTAAAATAAAAAAAAAAAAACATGGAAATTCATCGATTCAAAAATGTGGGAACCTTGTATGTTTGTTGAACACAAATCAAATAAATTGTATTGCAACAGTAATCTTATTTTTATGTACCACAACAACACTTTCATTTGAAGTTGTATTCACTTTTCAAATTTGCCATCCAGGAGCCATATCTGCTGAGGGGACTAGGGACCGGGGCCCTAAGGCTTCACTGGATGCGCTGTGGGGGCACTTTTTTATTCAAATGGCTGCATTTTTTAATGTGAAATGCAGGATTTTTTTTTTTTTAAATTGGTGACAAATGGGTCTACGATCTACTTGGGCTTACCATGCTTTTGGGAAACGCAGCCATGGTAACCTATAACGCTTTCCCCTACAGCTCCTGTAGGTGGCAGCAGTGCGCGCGTGTTTGAGCTGCTGTTTGCTTTCTCAGTAGACTAGAGGAAGAACTGCAGGTTGTGTTGAGAGATGTGCTATTCGCCTTTCTCTCACTTACCAGAACATAGTCCCTAACTCCCGCTTTAACCCTCCTCAACAGTCATCTTTTACAATGAATAGAGTATAAGCCCGACGTCCCAGCGGTTCATGGTTTTCTCTCTGTCAGTGTTAGTTTGGTAAGTGTCGTGATGTCCAGACGATGCTAACATGCTAACTCTATATATACTGTTAGCTGCTTTAGCTTCAGTCTATGAATAGAAACATGCCAGGCTGCTTTAATCCTGAACCTTCAACACATGAAAGTGCTTTTTCTGTGGTCGGTATTTGAGTTTAGTTTGCCATTTTTAGTCAGGTTGCTGTTCGAGTTTGCATGCTGGATGACTGTAAATAAACAAGGCAGAAGCAAATGTTTTCTTCTTATTTTTGGTGTTTTGAATTTTATCCAAATTAAATCCTTTTAAATTTAAATAAAATTCCTTATTACAAATGCATCCTTTTCCTACCCAGTTTGTTAATTGTGATTAATGTATGAGAATGGCAACGTAGATTTTATAGAAGTGACCATGAAATTTTGCACTTATTTATATTACTTGAAATGTAGGAAATATAAATGCACATTAAAATATGTTCCCACAGTCATAGAAAACATGGAAGTACCAGGGTATTTTGAATTCAGTGATGGAAGATACATTTATGCATTAAATCTTATTATAAATCAAAAAAGTGATGATGAAAAAAATAGTAATATAAAACCTGGAAATATCAGGAAATGTAGAATTCAAGGCTAGCAAAATTATAGAAATTACATTTAGAATTATGCATAATATGTACAATAAAATAAAGTAAAAAGTTGTATTTTTATTAGTAACACATTCTTATATTTACTTTTTAATTAACTGTTTCTTGTTTTTGGTTGTATGCAACTAGTCTTTTATTTATAATGATTTATAATATTCCCCAAATTAAATTCCTTGTAAGTTTAAATTATTATTATTCATCTTCTTTGCTTGTCTATTAAATTTGCTACAAATGTATCTTTTTTGATCCCTGTTTGTCCATCTTTGTATCACAGGTCTGGAGATTTCCTTTGAATGGGTTGAACTCAAGACACTTTGTACTTTGATTTGGGCACATTATTAAAGGTGCTGCACAGACCCTTCTTGTATCAAAACATTGTGCCTGCACAAGAAACGAAGACGGCAGCATCCAAAATGCCACTTGGATTGGGACGCAGAAAGAAGGCGTCTCCACTGGTGGAGAACGAGGAGGCCGAGCCCATCCGAGCTGGACTGAACGTCCCAGGGTTGGATGGCCTGGATGGTGGCAGGGTCAGCTTGGGTGAAGGAGCTGCCCATGAGGGCCTACCACCTCCACCCACCAGCCTGCGACCTCGCCTGATCTTCCACACCCAGCTGGCTCACGGCAGCCCCACGGGTCGCATCGAGGGCTTCAGCAATGTACGTGAGCTCTACGCCAAGATAGGAGAGGCCTTTGGGATTCCTCCAACAGAGGTGAGCGGGATTTCCCTTTGTGTTATAAAAGCAGGCCTTGTGATTATACTAACTAAATGATTATGTTTTTATGCCAGGTGATGTTTTGCACACTGAATACTCACAAAGTGGATATGGATAAACTTTTGGGTGGCCAGATCGGACTAGAGGACTTTATATTCGCTCATGTGAAGGGCCAGAAAAAAGAGGTGGAGGTCTTTAAAGGAGAGGATGCACTGGGGCTCACCATCACTGATAATGGAGCTGGCTATGCTTTCATTAAGGTGAGAGGAATGACCTGGGATTTTAAGGATGCAAGTACGTTCATGATTTTCATGGTAAAACTAAGAGTTTGCTATGTGACCAAATTTGAATGTTACAGCTTGAGTACATTTTCAATATATATTCCAATAATACTGTCTAAAATTTTGGTGTCAGAAAGATTTTTATTTTTTTTAAACAAGAAATTAATGCTATTGTTTAGCAAGGATGCATTAAGTTGTTCAAAGGTGACAGGAAAGACAT